TATGGAAAATTGAACCGATTTTTGTTGCAATTGGCAAACATTTATCAATACAATTGAGACGATTATCGATGCATTGTTATCCGGATAATGGCAAAAAACTTTTACTGGCCAACGGTTTGCTTAACCGATTGAATCGATTGACACATTTGACACTAGAGTTAGAGCGTTGTTGGATAATTGGTGACCAATTTTTCCGTAACATTCACCGAAATCATCCGCGACTACAGTCTATACACAGTGACGGCGCGTCCATTACTGATGAATCGATCCAAGCTATGGGACAGTTGGCACACCTGACGGATGTCATACTCCGATGCGAACCAAACAAACTGACAACAAGTGAATCCATTATTAGACAACAATTACTGATCGGTACTAAAGTTAAACATTTGTATATGAATTATACTGATTTAATGGGAAGACAAACATTTAAATACGGAAAATATATTAATTGTAATATTTATGATGATATAGTAGTAATTAATTAATTTGTGTATTTTATATCCATTTAAACCAAATTAATTATTATTGTACAAGTGTTATCGTAATTAATACTTACCGTAAATACCCATATAATATATGTATTAAACAATATACTCTAAACTATTATTATTAATTAATTAGTTAAAATAATTATCAAAATAATTGTCAAAAATAATATAATGTATATCACACACAGTATATAAAGTAAATTATCAATTAATAAATTGTCACAAATTTTTTGATAATAAATTTTTTATTTAAAGTACATTTTACTATTTTATATAATTAATTAATTAATATTAATCATAGAACGTATTTTCACTTTTAAATTGATTATATTATATAATTTATATAGAAACTTTATATAAATTAATTTAATATATTTTTTTATAATATAATTATACTATAAATATAAACATTGATTGAAACTTATTAATTTATTTTATACATTATATTTACAACATAAACGATAATTGCCATCACTATCGCAATCATTATAATTATCATAACTAGCATTAAGATATTTACCGCATCTAAACACTTGTTGTTTACCATCCATTGAATCCCAATATCTAATATACAAGTGTTTAACTTTACTGCCATTTAGTAAATGTCGGCAAATATATGATTCATTTGTCGGCAGTTTGTCTGAATAGCACCGGAGGTCGACATCCGACAGTTGTGCCAATTGTCCCAAAGCTAGGATCGACTCTACAGTAATGCCAACTCTGTAACAGTTTATTGACTGTAGTCGTGGAAGATTACGATGAATGTCACGGAAAAACTGGTCACCAATTATATGCAAATTATGTAACCGAAGTGTCAAATGTGTCAATCGGTACAATTGGTTTAGCGAATCGCTGGTCAGCAATAAATTTGAATTTTCTTCACCTGAATCGGCCGAACAATTCACTGATAAACGTCTCAATTGTTCGGCGGACATGTGGTCAGTGATTGCGTCAAACATGCGCTCAATTGATAACTTTTTTGACTTATTTGATGAATAATGTAATGACTTTAGTTGCCGACAGTTGCGACCAATTGTTGAAAATAAATTGTAGCCGAAATCGGTGTCGAAATCTTTTTGCAAAATAATTTTCAATTGTCTTAATTGTTTCATTTGAATAAAACCATTGATCAATGATTGGTAAATATCTTCATTTTCCATATTATAACAATTAATAGTTGCATTCATTGATGTTAATTGTTGGCCATAAGTTTCGGTAAATTTGCCAAACAATAGCACCGAATTGTTGTCCAATAATAGCGATATTGATTGCAATGATTTCGGCAAAACTAGACATTTTTCGGCAGTAAATATATCAGTCAATTGAATATTATAATTGTAATAATTTTTGAGATCCAATGTCCTTAAGTTTGGCAAACAATTATAAAACATTTCAATGGAGACATTAGGCGCGTCATTATGAAACGTGAATTTAAGTAATTGTTGGCCAAATCGGCGACCAAAACGATCCAATAGACGGCCATTAGTTTGACAATCAATTTTATTCAATGGTATTAGTGATATCTGTGTTAATCGGTTAGTGTATGTCATCAATAAATCAAACAATTTGACCGAAATATAGATATTACTTATGATAACTGCGGTAATGTTCGGACATTTTCGGACAATCACTTCAAACAACTTAATTGTCTGATAATAGTCACGCATTGAATCCAAAGACATTGTTTGTAATAGATTGCCATCAAATACGAGATCAGTTTGTGTTATGAATATCAATGATTGCCACTGTTTGGACACCGATTGTAGTCTTAGTCTGTCATCGATTGGCAGATATTGAAGCAATAGTTGACACAAATCATCGCCGAAGCGATCAAACGAGTCCTTCTTCGCTGTCATTACTGTTGTTGTCATTATCTTCAATAATCTTAACTTTTTTTTAGTTCACTTCAAATAATCTCTTGATTTTTTTTGTTGATAATAATTTCAAGTTTTGATTCAATTCAATGAATTCAATATATTGACTGAAATTAAACAAACAAAATATCAAAAATAATTTAATCAATCAATTGTTAACAACATTATAACACTTACGAGTCTTTCTTTGTCGATGTTATAGCTGTTGTTGTGGTCATTAGTTTTCAGTAAACTTTACTAATTTTTTTTTTGATGTCATCAATAAGTTTTCAATACCAATACATTTCAGTATTTTTTAAGTCAATAATTAAAATATAAACTATAGATATAACTGATATATAAAACATTTAATGACTACTAAAGTGATTCAAAAGTTAATATATTTATAATATATATATAATTTCAAATAAATCAATTTAGCGCAATCAATAAATATAGTTTTATCATAGTTTAATTTATAATTACTATTAATATAAATTTTAAATAAAAATAATAATAATAATTTTCATAATACTTAAATACCGATATACAATATGTATTAAACAATATACTATCTATTATTAATTAATTAATTATTATTACATTTTCATTATCAATGATATCATTACTAATATCATCATAAATATTACAATTAATATATTTTTCGTATTTAAATGTTTGTCTTACCATAAAAATCAGTGTAATTAATATACAAGTGTTTCAAAAACTTTAGTATCGATTAGTAATTGTTGTCTAATAATGGGATTCATTTGTATTATAAGTTTGTTTTGATTCGCATCGGAGTATGACATCCGTCAAGTGTGCCAACTGTCCCATAGCTTGGATCGACTCATCAGTAATAAACACCAAATCAAAGTACAGTATATATATATATATACTGTAGTCGCGGATGATTGCTATGAATGTTACTGAAAAATTGGACACTAATTATCCAAACAACAACTCCTCTAACTCTAGTATCAAATGTGTGTTAATATCGATGCAATCGGTTAAGCAAACCGTTGGTCAGTAAAAGTTTTTATGATTAGTTTTATTAACAAAAAAAATATTTAATATATGTTATACGGTATAATAAATTATATTATTATTAGTATTAATTCAAATAGTTTCCACTTTTATATAAATTATTGCAATCAATATAAAAGTTTTTAACTTTAGTACCGATCAGTAAATGTTTAGAAATAAATGATTCACTTGTTGTCAGTTTGTTTCGATCGCATTGAAGATAGACATCCATGAGGTTTGCCAACTGTCCAATAGCTTTGATAGATTCATCAGTAATGGACACACCGTAACAATGTATAGACTGTAGTCGAGGAATATTGAGATGAATATCATGAAAAAACGAGTCACCAATTAATTCCCGATTATATAACTGAAGTTTCAAATGTGTTAATCCAGTCAATCGATTAAACAAATCGCTGGTCAAAACCAAATCGGTTTCTTCTTTTAAATTATAATTATATAAATATTTTAATGATAATCGTCTCAATTGTTTCGACATATGTTTGTTGATTGCGGTAAACATGCAATAAATTGTTACTGTAGTTTTTATAGATAAGTCATAGTATAATGATTTAAGTTGTCGACAGTTGCGGCCAATTGTCGAAAATAAATCGGCCATAAAATTGGTGTCAAATTCAATCGGCAAATCAAACTTGAGTTGTTTTAATCGCGGCATTTGTTCAAAACCGACCGATAATTGTTTCAGATCCCATTTGATCCAATAGTGATAATCAGAGTTATAGAAGTCATTATCATTCATCAATTGTTCAAACTTTAGCGTCAATGATGTCAATTGTTTGCCGAAAATTTCGGCAAATTTAGCGAATAAAGGCATCGATAACTTATCCAGTTTTATGTTCAATGATTGCAACGATTTCGGTAACGAATTAAACATATTATTATCACTGAATATATCATTTAATTGTACAATATTTTTATAACCTTCAAAGTTATCATAAGTTGTGATATCCAATGTCTTCAGGTTAGGCATACTGTCCACCATTTTGTTAAACAATTGTTTATTGTATTTACGATTATAGCCTTCAAACTTGAATGTCAACAATTGTCGGCCAAATTGTCTGAAAAATCGTTCAAACGTACTGTCGATGACTGACCAGAGGACGTCGTAATCAAAATTAATGGTGAAGTGTCGCAATCGGTGACAGTTTTTCACCAATAAATCGATAAAACGGTTCATCCTATTGACAGCAACGGGAAGTGGAAATGTTGAACCATAGTATGAACTATATATATATATATATATACAACAAATATTTAATTATTAAAAATGATTTTTATTAATAAAAAATTAGATGAAAACCCTTACAAATCACTTATGATAACTGCGGTAATGTTCGGACATTTCGAGACAATCACTTGAAACCACTTAATTGTCCGATAATTATAACGATTTGAAAACAAATATAATGTTTCCAATAGTTTGTCATCAAATACGAGATGTGTTTGTGTATTGAATATCAATGTCGACCACTGTTTGGACACCGATTCCAGTCTTAGTCTGTCATCGATTGGCAGATATTGAAGCAATAGTTGACACAAATCATCGCCGAAGCGATCAAACGAGTCCTTCTTCGCTGTCATTATTGTCTTCAATGATCTTAACTTTATTTTATATTTTTGTTTTGTCTGAACAAAACTCGTCAATCAATTCAATCAAATCTATTGATAAAACAAAACATAAATCAAATTCATTAGTAAATTGTGTGAAACAATCAAACACTGCATTCAAATGACAATAACATTCAATAATACTTACATTTGATTTACTAATCACTTGTTATAATAATAATAATAATAATTGTATTCAAAATCAAACAATATATTCAATCAATATATGATATTAGATAAGTATTTAATTAATTAACTAATTAATTGCACAAAAAAAATTATAATACAATAATCTGATAATTAATTAATTTTTATTATACAATGTATGATATATTAACAAACATATGATATTAAACATACATTAATAGATGTGAAAACTTTACCATATATTTCAGTTTATACTATATTTATTTTAAAGATAAATATCTAATAGATTTTTTTTATTAATAAAAATTTTATAATTTTAATTTTTATCATTTTTTAAAACATCAATAATCTAGTATTTTATATATTTTTTGTTATGACTTAATTTTGAGGATTTTAAAAATAATAATTAAAAAACTAAATAAATTTTAACAAAAATCTAGTTTAGGTTCGGTTTTGTTAAGTACAGTAAACCATGATTTTTATGTTTAATGTAGATTTCATTTTAAAACATAATAATATTATTAATAATACTAATGAAATCTATATTTATATTATAATTAAAATATCCAAATAATTGCAAAATAAATTTCTTATAAATTATTTTCAAAAAAGTTTATTAATTGACGAATTATTAATAATTAACTAAAAAAATTTACGAATCGATTAATTACTAATTATATAGTAATTACTGTATATAATAGTAAATTTATATTTATTTAGTAAAATTTAATTAATATATTAAATTAGTTTTAGAGAAAATTAATGTTGACAATTTTTAAAAATTGTTTTATTTAAAGTAATATTTTATTAAATAAATTATTTTATTAATATATATTAGATATGATTGAAATGCTTTTATTTTCAAATGTTTTAAATTTAAATGCAATTTATTAAATAAATGATTTATTAAAAAAAACAAAACAAAAATTACTAATCGATTAATTAATTGATTAAGAGTAAATTTATATTTATTTAATAATATATAATTAATATCAATTACAATTAGTTATGATTGAAATACTTTTATTTTCAAATGTTTTAAATTTAAATTCAATTTCTTAAATAAATGACTTTTATTAATTAAATTCATTATGAATGTCATTATAAATAATAAATTATATTATTATTAGTATTAATTCAAATAGTTTCCACTTTTATATACTTATATATATTTTATTGCATTCAATATAAATGTGTTTAACTTTAGTACCGATCAGTAAATGTCGGGAAATAAATGATTCACTTGTTGTCAGTTTGTTTCGATCGCATCGAAGATAGACATCCATGAGGTGTGCCAACTGTCCAATAGATTGGATCGATTCATCAGTAATGGACAAACCGTTACAATGTATAGACTGTAGTCGCGGAATATTGAGATGAATATCATGAAAAAACTGGTCACCAATTAATTTATAATTATATAATTCAAGTTTCAAATGTATTAATCCCGTCAATCGATTAAACAAATCGCTGGTCAAAACTAAATCGGTTTCTTTTTCATAATAATAATATTTTGAAAATTTTAGTGATAATAGTCTCAATTGTTTAGACATATGTTTGTTGATTGAGGTAAACATGCGATAAATTGTTACTGTAGTTAATATATATGACTCATAGTATAATGATTTAAGTTGTCGACATTTGCGGCCAATTATCGAAAATAAATCGCCAGTAAATTTGGTGTCAAATTCAATCGGCAAATAAAACTTGAGTTGTCTTAATCGCGGCATTTGTTCAAAACCAGCCGATAATGGTTTCAGATCCCATTTGTTCCAATTGGGATAATAATAGTCATAGTAGTCTTCATCAACCATTAATTGTTCAAACGTTATCTTCAATGATGTCAATTGTTTGCCAAAAATTTCGGCAAATTTAACGAACAAAGACATCGACGACTCATTCAGTTTTATGTTCAATGATTTCAACGATTTTGGTAACGAATAACACATTTTATTATCAATGAATATATCATTTAATTTGACAATACATTCCTGACCATCAAAGTTATCATAAGTTATGATATCCAATGTCTTCAGGTTAGGCATACTGTCGTCCACTTTGTTAAACAATTGTTTATTAAATTCATGATTATAGCCTTCAAACTTGAATGTCAACAATTGTCGGCCAAATTGTCTGAAAAATCGTTCAAACGTACTGTCTATGACCGACCAGAGACCGTCATAATCTAATTTAATGGTAAAGTGTCGCAATCGGTGACAGTTTTCGATCAATATATCGATAATACGTTTCATCATATCGTCAGTATCGGGATGTTTTGGAGCATACCATGAACTATATATATATATATATATCAGGGTTAAGAAAGATTATGGATTTTAGGGGAGGGGTCTAGTGTGGGGTCAAATTACAAAATTCTCGAATATTCCCGTATAAATTCCCATGAAAATAGTTAAATTTAAAAAAAATCAAAGAAATTTTTAGGGAGTGTTGTAATTTTTACAATTTGGTCAAAAAGTCTGGGAGATTAAATCCCAAAAATGGATCTTAGGGGGTATTTTGGCCTCACCCTACCCTACCCTCTTGCTTAACCCTGATATATATATATATATACGAAAAATGATTTTCATTAATTAAAAAATAATAAATCAAAATACTTACCTCTCACTTATGGTAACTGCGGTAATGTTCGGACATTTCGAGACAATTAGTTTAAACAATTTAATTGTCTGATAATAGTCACGCCTTGAATCCAAAGACATTTTATGTAATAGTTTCCAATCAAATATGAGATCCGTTTGTGTATTGAATATCAATGCCGACCACTGTTTGGACACCGATTGTAGTCTCAGTCTGTCTTTAATCGGGAGATATTTTAGCAATAGTTCCGCCAAATCATCGCCGAAGCGATCAAACGAGTCCTTATTTGCTGTCATTGTTGTTGTTGTGGTCATTGTCTTCAATGATCTTAACTTTTTTGTTTGTTTGTTGGTCTCAACAAAAATTGTTATAAAATTTGATAATTATTTTTATTATACAGTGTTTTAACAAACATATGATATTAAACACAAATTATATGTGAAATCATAAATAGTTATTGTATTCAAATGACAATAACATTCAATAATACTTACATTTGATTTACTCATCAATTGTTATAATAATAATAATAATATCAAATAAAATAGTTGTATTCAACAAACAAATAATATATTCAATCAATAAGTATTTAATTAATTAATTGATTGTTCACAAAATAAAAACAATTTCTAATACAATAATCTGATAATTATTTTTGTATTATACAGTGTATAACAAATTTTTCAATAAACATAAAAATCTAGTATTGAATATAATTTTAATTTTAGTTGTACTAATTTTTTTGTTGACTTTAAAAATAATAATTAAAGACTAAATAATTAAAACAAAAATCTAGTTTTCGGTTCGGTTTTTAAATAAACAATAATTTCTATATCTAATGTAGAAATCATATTAATGCTATCAATCAATACAGTATTTTATATCCTATATATATTCCCTTAATGGGCTTAAAAGCTTAATATGTATAATTAAATTTTTTACCATGTTCAAATAAACTTATTAATACTTTGATTAGGCGTAGTTCACATATTACGTTCGCACTTGAGGGGAGGGGGGGTTAGCCAAAGCGAACTTTTGCGAACGAGGGGGAGGGAGGGGTAGAGACTTTAAGAACGTTCGCATTTAGATAATATCTTATTTCGTGTGGTGGGGGGGGGGAAGTAGCGGTTAGGGATAAGCGAACGTAATTTTTTTAAATGACTACATGCGAACAATTGCGAACATAGGGGAGGGAAGGGGTATAGATTTCTTAAAAAGTGCGAACGTAATATGTGAACCACGCCTTACTCATTTTCATAAATATTAATCTAAAACACACACTCAAACTGCATTTGTAAAACTGTGTCATATTAAAATTGAACAAGCTAAAGTTAACCTTTTTATTTTTATCTATTGAACTATAGCATGTTTAATTTTAATATGACACATTTTTTCAAATGCATTGAGTATGTGTTTTAAATTAATATTTATGAAAATGAGTAATCAAAATATTTATAAGTTTATTTGAACATGGTAAAAAAAATTAATTATACATATTAAGCTATATGGGCTATTTTTTTTAAAAAAATAAAACTTTTAAGCTCTTAAGGGAATATATCCTAATTAAAAATACAAAAAATATATATATTATATAATTTAAATTTCTTATAATATGATAAAAATTATTATTTCTTAATTTAAAAAAAAACAAAACAAAAATCTCTTAGTTATGACATAATTTAATTAACTAAAAATTACTAATTGATTAATTAATAATTAAATAATAGTTATTTATTATATATATATTTAGCAATATATATGTGATTAATATATTGAATGTATAAATTAAAAAAAAAATTGTTTCATATGTTTATTTTATATTAAATAATTATTATTATTTATTTATTGTATAATATTATTTTATGATAAATGTGATAACATTTATTTCATTAATTTATTACTATTACCCATAGATAATAAATATATTTTATAATTTGATAAAAAATAATAAATCAAAATAAATAAATAAATATTTATTCAATCATAACTGTACTTTTCTTTTCAAATATTTTAAATTTAAATGCAATTTATCTAAATAAATGACTTATAAAAAATCAAATAAATGTCATTAATATGAATAATAAATTATATTATTAATCAGTATTTATTTATTCAAATATTTTCCACTTTTATATACTTTAGTTATAAAATATAAACCCATATATTCAATATATAAGTGTTTAACTTTAGTACCGATCAGTAAATGTCGGGAAATTATTGATTTACTTGTCGTCAAAAATTTGTTTCGATTGCATCGGATATAAACATCCGTCAGGTTAGCCAACTGTCCCATAGTTATGATCGACTCATCATTGATGGCCACATCGTTACAATGTATAGACTGTAGTCGCGGAAGATTTAGGTGAATATCATTGAAAAACTGATTATCGATTATATCACAAGATTTTAACTCAAGTGTCAAATGTGTTAATCCTGTCAATCGTTTTAATAAACTACTGGTCAGTACTAAATCCGTGTCCACTTTGATATAATTCCAACATTTTACTGATAATCGTCTCAATTGTTTTGACATATGTTTATTAATTGTTATAAACATGCGTTCAATTGTCAATAGATTTATTATATCTGACTTATAGTCTAACGATTTAAGTTGTCGACAGTTGCGTCCAATTGTCGAAAATAAATCGCCGATAAAATTGATGTCAAAATCAAATGGCAAATCAAAGCTGAGTTGTCTTAATCGCGGAATTTGTTCAAAACCAGTCAACAATGTCTTCAGATCCCATTTGTTCCAATTGGGCCCTTCATCGTAGTCATCGTCATCGTCTTCATCGGCGTTATTGTTGTAGTCATTGGCGTTATTGTCGTAGTTATCGTAGTTATCGGCGTTATTGTCGTAGTCATTGTCCTCATCGGTCGACTGGTCCAACATTATCTTCAATGATGTCAATTGTTTGCCATAAATATAGGCAAACTTTGCAAACAACGTCATCGACGATTCGGCCAGTTTTATGTTCAATGATTGCAACGATTCCGGCAACAAATCACACATATTATCGATTAAGATGTCATTTAATTGGACAGTACTTTCATAGCTATCATAAGTGATATCCAGGGTTTTCAAGTTAGGCATACCGTCGACCACTTCGTAAAACAATTGTTTATTAAATTCATGATTAGTGCCTTCAAACTTGAATGTCAACAATTGTCGGCCGAATCTCCGAAAAAATCGTTCAAACGTACGGTCGATGACCGACCACTGACAGTAGTAATCATGTTTAATAGATATGTGTCTTAATCGGTGACAGTTTATTATTAATAAATTCATGAAACTATTTATCGCATGGACACAACCGGGTAGTCTTGAACTATAATATATGAAAAATATTTTATAATGAAAATCATTTTAATCAAACAAAAAAAAGAGATCAAACTCTTACCCATCACTTATGGTAACTGCGGTAATGTTCGGACACTTTGAGACAATCACTTCAAACAACTTAATTGACTGATAATAGTAATGCCATGAATTCAAAGACATTGTTTTCAATAGTTTGCGATCAAATACGAGATCAGTTTGTGTATTGAATATCAATGCCAACCACTGTTTGGACACCGATTCCAGTCTTAGTCTGTCATCGATTGGCAGATATTGAAGCAATAGTTGACACAAATCATCGCCGAAGCGATCAAACGAGTCTTTCTTTGCTGATGTCATTGCTGTTGTTGTGGTCATTAGTTTTCAGTAAACTTTACTAATTTTTTTTGATGTCATCAATAAGTTTTTAATACCAATACATTTTTATTTATTTTTTAGTCAAAAATTCAATATAAACTACAGATACTTATTATAACTAATTATTAACACTTGATATATAAAAATATAACATTTAATGACTACTAAAGTGATTCAAAAGTTAATATATTTATTCAAAAAAAAAATATTTTAAATAGAAATTCTTGAATTGTATTATATAGAAAAAATTTATTAACAATTATTGTATTAAAATTATATAAACAGTATATATAATTTCAAATAAATTAACCTAGCAATCAATAAATATATTTTATCATACTTTAATTTATAATTACTATTAATATAAAATTTTTTTAATTAAATATAAATTGATAAACAAAATAATAATAATTATTATCGATAATACTTAAATACGGATATACTAAATATATATATTAAACAATATACTATATATATTATTAATTAATTAATCAATTATTATTACATTTTCATTATCAATATTATTATCAGTTATTTATTCAAATATTTTCCACTTTTTAAAAATAAATTATTGGATTCAATATAAAAGTGTTTAACTTTAGTACCGATCAGTAAATGATTGGAAATAAATGATTCACTTGTCGTCAGTTTGTTTCGATCGCATCGAAGATTAAGACATCCATTAGGAGGACATCGATATAATTCATACAATTCACTGATAATTATCATAATTGTTGACATATGTGTTATAATGGGTTTAGAGTATGTCATCAATCAATTAATCAAACAATTTGATTACGAAATTATTGATTACTTACGATATAATTATTAATGTTTTTTTCTAAATCCAGTGTTAAACTACCATAACGTAAATGTTGTTCAAATATATTGATTTGTTTTGTCTTAAATTTTTTATTTTTTGTATCGCATGTGAGGAATATAGGTATCCATCAGATGAACCAACTGTCTGATAGAGGCAATCGACTCCTCAGTGATGGACACTTTGTCACAGTTTATATACTGTAGTCGCGGAAGATTTAGGTGAATATCATTGAAAAACTGATTACCAATTATATCCCAAGATTTTAACTTAAGTGTTAAATGTGTTAATCCCTTCAATCGGTTTAATAAACTACTGGTCAGTACTAAATCCGTGTCCACTTTGATATAATTCAAACATTTTACTGATAATCGTCTCAATTGTTTTGACATATGTTTATTAATTGTTATAAACATGCGTTGAATTGTCAATAGAGTTATTATATCTGACTTATAGATTAACGATTTAAGTTGTCGACAGTTGCGGCCAATTGTCGAAAATAAATCACCGATAAAATTGATGTCAAAATCAAACGGCAAATAAAACCTGAGTTGTCTTAATCGAGACATTTGTTCAAAACCAGTCGATAATGTCTTCAGATTCCATTTGTTCCAATTGGGCCCTTCATTGTTGTCGTCGTCATCGTCGTCATCGGCGTTATTGTTGTAGTCATTGGCGTTATTGTCGTAGTTATCGGCGTCATTGTCGTAGTCATTGTCCTCATCGGTCGACTGGTCCAACATTATCTTCAATGATGTCAATTGTTTGCCAAAAATATAGGCAAACTTTTCAAACAACGATATCGACGACTCGTCCAGTTTTATGTTCAATGATTGCAACGATTTCGGCAAATCATAGCACATATTACCGATGATTATGTCATTCAATTGAACAGTGCTTTTGTTGTTTTTATAAGTGATGTCCACTGTCTTCAGGTTAGGCATACCGTCGACCACTTCGTAAAACAATTGTTTATTGATAGCAATATTATAGCCGTTAAACTTGAATGTTAGCAATTGTTGGCCAAATTGCCGAAAAAACCGTTCAAACGTACGGTCGATGATCGACCAGTGGCCGTCGTAATCAAGTCTAACACTTAAGTGTCGCAATCGGTGACAGTATATCATCAATAAGTCAAGAAAACGGTCCAACAAATAGACTTTACTTATGGTAACTGCGGTAATGTTTGGACACTTCCGGACAATCAATTGGAAAAATTCTAGTGTCTTATAATAGTCACGCATTGAATCCAAAGACAATCTTTTCAATAGTTTTTCATTAAATACGAGATGTGTTTGTGTATTGAATATCAATGTCAGCCACTGTTTGGACACCGATTGCAGTATAAGTCTGTCATCGATTGGCAGATATTGAAGCAATAGTTGACACAAATCATCGCCGAAGCGATCAAACGAGTCATTCATTGCTGTTGTTGTGGTCATTGTCTTCAGTGATCTTCACAATCAATTTAAATCTAAATTATAATTTAATTATAGTATAAATATGCTATAATTAATTAGATATTAAATAAAATATTATTTAATTAACAATATATTAATTAATTACTAAAAATAGACTTATATTTAGGCTATAATTGTGTACAAAATATATGACAATAAATACAAACCAAACAAAAAACAAAACACAATATTTATTTTAAATAAATAAATTTAAAATATATTAATTAATCAAATATTAAATATATTTATTGTAATTGTTTATTTGTAGTAAATATTTATTGTAAAATAATTACTGTTACTATTAATAATATTAATATTAATAACAATAACTATAAAAAAAAACAATTTAATATTTAATAAACAAAACATATGTTTTCACAATAAGTACTGTTTTTGTGTAAACAATTGACGCAATAATTTCTAATTCATATGAAATCACTAAACACTAGACTAGAGTAATGAAAACCGGGTTTTAATATAACCGATAAAAACGATTGTTTCGCAAACATCACTGTCTCGTCAATTATCATATATTTTAAAATATTTCTAATAATCACATAAATATGAAATTTATATTTACGTTCAAAAACACAAAACAACTAATACTTAAATTTTATTTTTTTTAATTTTAAATTAAATCAATTTAATAAAAAGATATTTTTTTATAAATGACTAGTTTTAATGTAAATAAAATACTGTACTGTAAACTAATTATTATGATATTTTTTTTAATTTTCCAGATAAATATCATCATAAATGTCATCATTAATCATACACTATATTTAATATTAATAAAAATGTTTAAACTATTAAAACAAATGTAAAATCCAATGTTAAAAACATAATAATATCTTATATTAAATAAGTGTGTTATTGTGTTTTTTAAAAAACATTATATAAATAGGATATAATAAAATAAATACCTGTACTTTTACCGTATTATATTATATACAATATTACTAGATATATAAATAAAATTAATTACAGATTTAGATACCCTAGTTGTATCAAAATACATTTATTTCATTATTTATTTTTACAGTATAATACACTCATTGATAATAATATATTTTATAATTTGATAAAAATTTGATATATTAAATAATGTACAGTAATATATTTCATTGAAATTCATACAATATTATTGATAATAATAATAATAAAAACTTTATCATTAGAGAGTATCATTTATTATACAATTTGTATTAACAGTTAATAATTTTAAATATTAAATAAATTATTAAATAGATATTATTGAAATTGATTGAAAGGTCAATGTCTTAAAAATATTTATTATTTATATAGTTTAAAAAAAACTAAAATAGGTATACAAAAATCATACAAAATTATGACATAAATTAAATCAACTAAAGAATTATTAAACTATTAATTAATAAATTTAATGTTTTTATTTTCTAAACAAAAATATATACAATACAATACAATACAATACATAAGTACTTTACAGTAATAATCTCTGTTTAAATAACAACTGTATTAATATGCAGTATAAAAATAATGAAATCTGATTTTATTATAATTTGTTACAATCTTTATCATCACATTTAAATAATTAGATGCAATTATTTATATGTATTATTATTTTATAAGTGTCTGTTACAGCCAACAGACATCACATTTAAATGTCTTTTTATTTTTTTAAATGCACAATACGTTTATGTTGATTAATATTATTCAATTTAGTAAAACGTTTATTACAATTATTGTAATCACACATGAATTTAGGTTCAATTGAATGATCTATTGATATGTGTTGTCGTAAACAATGATTTGTTGTAAAACTTTTTAAACACTCGTTCACTGAACAGATAAATCGATTTTTACGTAAATGTTTTAATTCGTGTTTAAATAAATATCTTTTTGTTGAAAATGTTTGATCGCAATACTCGACATCACATTTAAACGGTTTGTCATTTAGATGTACCAATAAATGTGTCTTCAAAAGCATTTTATTCGAGAAATTTTTGTTACAATTAATATAATAACAAACAAATGGCGGCTCATTATAATGTACTCTTGATTTATGTCTAATTAGGTTACGTTTTGTTATAAATCTTTTTTTGCAATCAATGACATCGCAAACATAGCATATATTTAAATGTTTGCCATTTTTATGTAATTTTAAACCATTTTCACTAAAAAATGTTTGATTGCAATCATTGAAATCACATTTGAATTGTTTGTCAGATGAATGGCTTAATTGATGTCTGTTTAACTTACATTCATTTCTATAGCTATACCGACATTTAGGCCAAAAACATTTGAATCGCTTGTTGTTATCCATACATGTATTGTTGCTGTAGTCGTAATCAATAACTTTTAATAAATTATAATTATTTGCTGTAATAATATTTAATTCACAATTTAATTGCTCACATAATAGACGAAATTTATCATTAATTTCATGCAAACTATTTGCCGTTAATTTCAATTGAATTAATTGATTTAAATTCATGATTCAAATGTGTTGTTTGTTTGAATGTCTTCACACAATAATTGTTTGAAATGTCGATCACTTTCATCGCACATATACTTAATGTGTTTACCTTTTATATCATACATTCAAAGCACATACACCTGTCTATTGAAACGGATATCACAATTAACTTTGATTTTTAATCCAAAAAACCTGTTTTCATATTATTTATGTTAGAAACACATTATATTTATTTTGTTTCAATATAATATCAAAATAATATACATTTATTAATTTT